CCTCCTGCCATGCACGATGCGCAGGAAGGAGAGGGAGCCGCTGGGCAGCAGCATGCGGTGGGACCGCGGGTCCTCCTTGTCCGTCTCCACCCGCTCCCCATCCTTGTACCATTCGATAATGGGGGTGGGGCGCCCCTCTGCCTTGCAGTTCAGCGTTGCTGGCTCCCCCTTGGAAACGATGAGGTCCGAGGGGTGCTCAACTATGTGTGGGGAAGAGTCCTCGAGTCGAGGGCGGGATCCTGGAAGGAGGAAGAGAGCAGAGATCAGGGGGAAGGTTCCCCAGGGGATGAGCAGACACCTGCTGGGAATGGAGACTGCCACGCTGTGCCGTAGCGGGGGCTGTCTGCTCTGTGATCCGGGGTCCCCTGCGCTGGGCTGTGAGATTCCCACTGACTCACCCACACGTGGATTGGCCCAGACACCTAGTCCCAGCCTGGGCAGGTAACAAGGCTCTTCCCAGAGACAAAGGAAGGGAGGCGGAGGCGGCCACCTGGCTGGGCGGCAGAGCCTGGGAGCTGGGCAGTCTGAGCATGGAGAAGCATGGAGGAAGAGGTCTGGAACCAGTATAGGGGGCTCAGGGGGCCTGTGAGCTCCTTCCCCCAAAGGAACTAGGGCTGTCGGCCTATCCTCTGATGCCTACATGGAGCAACCCATTTGTACTCTGCTGGCTGGCGGAGCGTCACATCTGGCTGTGGACGGGGGTGCAGGGTCGGGGGGCTCCCCGACGCGCCGTCACATGCACTCAGCTGCCTGTGCACATTTCACACCGCGCATGGCCTGTAAGCTAGCTAAAGGGACATCAGGATCGGCTGAAAGCCATTGCTCTTTCCAACTCTGAACAGCGGTACATGTCCCGAGCATGGAGGTCCGTGGCACTGCTCTAGCAAATGACAGCAGGCTTTGGGGAGGGCCACTCACAGGCGGGGTGTTCAGGGACTGACCGGCAGGGTGTTGTCATCGAGGGATTTACAATTCAGTGACAGTTCTGCAAGTGTCACCCAACGGACACTGCTCAGCTGAGCAGCACAAGACCACTCCGGGGATAGCGCCAACCTGTGACTCTGCAAAGGGGCATGTCTTGGTTGAGACCTTTCTGCTCCCCTGCCTTTGCTGGAAGCAACAAGAATGCTGGGAAGACAAAGACTTGAACTGAGGCGTCTGGTCCAGGCTTAAGGGACAGGCCTGGTTAGTAAGAACTGTAACAGCCTTCGGAGTGAGAAAACTTCTTGACCCAGACACTGCCTAGGGTGAGAAGGTTTAAGGGTTAGACTGCGCTTTCCTTGCATAACCACCGCTCACCCTTTGTGCCTAGCACTTGGAACCACTGTGCAGTAAGTTCACTCTCTTACGGCACGGGTTGAACCTTTCCAGTCCAACTCCAGCTCCTCTCCCTAGGCTGTCTCATCCAACTATTGTCTAGCAGCATCGCCAACACTTCCACTGCTTGCTGGGCTCTTACAAGACATTGAGGGGTGAATTAGAGCTAAATAACAGCACCGAACCCTGAGAGCCGGGACTGGGGGCTGCAAACAACCTTTATGGGACTGCAGGAAGCGTGGCCATACCCATGCGAAGCGGACATCCGGCTCACTGACAGCAAGCCGGACCATGGATGCTTAAGAGGTTCAACCTGTAGTTAATAAATCTGTTTCTATTTTACCTATAACCGTTTATTTTGCTTGAAGTGCTTGGCAAATCTCAGCCCAGTTTACAAGGGCTGGCGTGGGCCCTCCCCACATCAGGGAGGGGCAGACTGGGCAATAAACTTGCCCTCACAGGCCTCTGACCAGGGCACGATGGTTCAGCTCTGGGGTGTGAGGCTGGGAGACTGGCTGGTGCCTCTCTCTGTGTGTCAGAGGCAGCTGTGGGAGCAGGCATGCCCTCTAGCTGGCTGTGGGGTCTGCATGCTGCTGTGCTGAAGGCTGGAGAGTTAGAGATCACCATGATTCCAGGTTGTACCCTGGGGGATCCCATCACAGGGGGTGGACTCCAGGGGTCTCCCTGGGCAGCTCCAAGGACTCTAAATACCTGAGACACAAGCTCTCATTCCCAGGGTTCTGCATCATTTCCCGAGGGCTTCGCTGCACCCCGGAGTCCAGGGGCCCTTTGCTCTCTATCGCTAGCTCCCCTTTCCTCCCTATCGTCTCGCTGAAAGCAAGCTCTGCGCCCTTCGGGGAGGACGTGGCAGGGCCCGTGGGCTGAGGCGGGGAAAGGAGCAGCTCCAGCATGGGGAGGGCAGGAGGGGCCAGTGCACAGGGACCTGGGAAGAGACTCCAGCCCTTGGGTGGCCCCCAGGAGCCCTGGTGAGAGTGAGCTGTCTGCAGCTGGTGGCTCCGGCTCACACACAGCCTGTGCCCAGTGCAGTCACCCCACCTGCACAGCCACTAGACTGGCGCCCGACAGCTGCCAAGCTCAGTGAATTGGGGTCTCGGTCCAACTCCTTTGGGGCCAGTGTCCGTGACAGAGAAATCACCATGCAATGGGCACCTGGGCTCAGGGCTTGGCAGACAGGCAGGAAGCCAATGGCCCATGGGGGGGGGGGGGGGGGGAGTTAAGCCCACCAGCCTTGTTACGATCTGTACTAGGGCAGCCAGCAGGCATCAGACTCACGGCGAGGGTTCTGCCCCTCCCCACGGGAGAGGACCCCTGGGGACGTCTGCGGTGTGAGGAGAGACGCTGGGCTCCAGGGGTGGTGTGGGGCAGAGAAATGACTGTTCTTATTGCAGTTAACCCCTGAAAGGAATTGCTTCACAACAGGCTCGGCACGGCTGCTGCTTCGGGACAGGAAGTGCAGCTAAGTGCACAAGGGTATGTCTACACTACCCTAGTTCGAACTAGGCTGGGAGTGTAGACACACCCAAGAGAGGAGACGGGGCAGGAAGAGCCTGGCAGGGTGGCGTAGACCGTGACCACAGCCACCAGAAATGCAGGTTTCCAGACCCTTTTCTTGCTGACTGGCTGAGAGCGCTCTGCCCCGCCCTGCCCGGTGGGTGGCTGCCCGGCTCCGCGGGACACACGGGTACAAGAGCAGCAGGGGCAGAAAAGTCAGAGGGACGCTCCGGGCTGAACTAACCCTGAGAGTCGGCAATTAGCAGCCTCCGGGATCTTGCAGAGACATTTTCAGCACCTTAGACAGAGCATGGCACAGGCTCAGCATCTGCCTGCAGGGGCTTCCTTCCTGCCTTTCCCGCCCTGACCAGCTTGTCCCTTCCCCCACAGGCAGCGCAGAGCTAGCTAGGAGGGCATGGAGATTTGCTGGGACGAGGAGGCAACATGGGCCAGATGCACCCCAGTCCCTCATCACCCGCCTGGCCCATGGATTACAAGGCCAGGGCCAGACCATCTGCACCCCTAGCCAGGGTGTTTGTAAAAGGCCAGCAGCCACTAACAGCCAGCCGCTCTTGCACTGGGCAGTGCTCAGGAGCTCCAGGCCCGGGGGGGTCACAGGGAACACGCCCAGGGATGCAGTGGTGACCACTCCAGTCACTGGCTGTGCTCCCGCAGAGCACAAGGAAGCCATGTGTGTGGCACTGCCTACCCTGCCTAGCCAGTGTCTCCCGTTGAGTCACTGAGCCCAGATGGACAGTGAAGGGCTGCATGCACACGGGCAGGGCTCTCCAGAAAGGGTGAGTGTAAATGAGTCCATCTCCGCGAGCCTACGGCCCTGCCAACACTGGGCTCCCGCTCAGGGACACCCACGACAGGCCCCCAGCTCAGGAACCACCGTCTGGCTGGAGGCATCTCCCAAGTCCACAGGCAGCCACCACCTGGAGCACCCCTCCAGCACTGCAGAGACCCCAGGCGAGGGTCAGAGCTCCTGGGCCCAGGGCAGCCCCTGTGGCCATGAACCCAGAATTGGCCTCCCGGCTGTCAGCCAAGGACTCAGGCCAGACACAGTGGAGGGTGCACCCATGGGGAGGTGTTACAGCCACCGCATGGCCCAGCTCCCAGTCGTCGGACTGTCCCATCTGCCCTGGCTCATTTGCATGTCACAGTGATGTCACCTATCCCGAGACTGATGGCTCCTCCCATCGGGCACCCCCTGCCCCCGGGCCCCTAGTGGTAAGATAGCCCCGCCCT